TCATTTTTCATTTATATAGTGCTCTGTGAATCAAATTAGTTAGCATAAATCAGTTAAATGACGAAAAATTAGGTGTCTATTTACTTGTGACTACTCAGTGTAGGTCTGTACCTAACAACAACCAAATAACTTTTGATACATTTTTTATATCATTATTTACAACTTTTTAAAAATCCTGGTTTGCTTGTTAAATTTCGCGTAAAGCTACAGCTATCTGCGCTAATCAACTTTAATTTAGAAATGATATACTAGAGGGAAGGCAGCTAGACAACACTACCCCCCGCAAACTCTTGGGCTATTCTTGTCAAACCAAAATTTATCCGACATTCTTATAATGCACCCATGGCCCCAAAGTGTAGAACACTTTTCTTTTTTCTTTTTTTTGCTGTTGTTATTTTGCGGTAACAGAGCAAAAACCATCATTTGAACAATCTGGCAGGCTAACCATTAGGCCAGGCTTGGCTCTGTCTTGGGCTACCTCCAAGATTTGAAACAAAACTTTAACATATCTTCAGTTCAACTGTACAGTTTGCTTACTGGAACATCCAGAAGCGTCGAATTAAAGCATTTCAGGCAACAGGTAGGGAACAACTGATTAAGTTCTCAGTTATGTATTTCTGGGAAAGTAGGTTTGAACACGTGGCGCTAATTAGCTATACTTCTTTAGTGTTGTTTCATTTGTTTTGAATTTGCGCAAAGTTATTCGAGGGCTATCTGTGCTCGATTCTCTACTTTAGCAGTGATAGACTAGAGGGAAGGCAGCTAGTGAACACTTGGGCTACTCTTTTAACCAACAAATAATGGGATTGGCAGGCACATTATAACGCCCCACGGTTGAAAGATTACTTTTTATAGTATTTGTATGCAATCATTCATCTGCTTTTTTTATAATTTACGGAGTAAATCGTAGAATGGACCGTATATTTCTATAATATGGATTCTTCTTCAGTACTTATCGAAACAAGTAAATGTAAGTAAAACCTTTCTCTGTATAAATCTGATTGTACTTTACGTAAACTTAGAAATTGTAAAAAAAAAAAAGTCAATAAGAATGTATTTCGTAATCCTTGTTTAGATATTATGTAATGGTTTCTAGATCCTATGACAGGATAAATTATGAAATTCGTTAAGTTAATAGACTCAATTTAATGGGTCTAACTCATGATGACTTTGACATGCAGTAACCCCGCCCAAAAACCGACAACCTTGATACCTGAGCCTTGCCGGATCTTGGAGTTTTCCAGATTTCGGGTGGTCGCGTTATAGTCATAGACAAATGGAAAAACACATTAAGAAAACTGCATTTTATTGTACACAGTACTGTACAATGTATTCTACACCAAAAAAATGGTAAAATGTATGGGAAAGTATCTTATTGTACAGTAAGAAATAAAAAATAATAACTACTATATTTATTATTATTGAAAAGCTGCAGACCAATCTGAAAAGAAAAGTGAAAAAAACAACATTTGTTTGACACAACTGTACTTTATTGTATAGTAAATAAGGATGGTTAAAACAGTTTACTATAAAAGTAATATCTGTCCGTTTTTTTAAGATCAACAGGAAAACGGATTTCCGGATCTGGGAGGTTCGACTGGATAATGGTTCTTAGAATGAAATGTTATACTAACAAATAAAACATGTTATTAAAAGCTGAAATCATACGCCACCCTTACCTTCATGGTTCCAAGAAAAACTTGTAACATGATAACTTGTTTACATGGCAAACCAGGAAACACGTACAGCGTTTCAAAGTGCACTAAATAATGAAGCTAACGTCTATAACTCGCGGTATAGTTCTACAAAAGATTAATATAGGAAGATGTTCTTCACGATATGTGTAGTGATCTTGGTTGCAAATGCAAGGCCTCTGTTTGCTAGTAAGTGTCATTGAAATTATTATTATGTTTCACTAGAGTTCAAAGTTTTAGTTGTATAATTCCCAGTCCCTTCTCGAGTCGTACAGGATAATAGTATGATTTTGTAATTCAACTTTGCATTCAGTTTAGAAATTAGATTGAATAGACTTAGATATAAAATCTGAATTTCAACCCAGAAAACAGATGGAATTTATAAGTAATTTCGTATTCAAATATTTCAGAAATCTAGCACTACGCTGTCAAAACATTGGAATATAATAATTCGTATGGTTTATAACATACTTTAAAATTTAAGCATTATGAAAACTAAATATAATGTAGAATATTGGAAATTGATATCCTTTAAGTATAGATTTTATGTTTTCATGGAATTCACTATACTTTGCTTAGATTGACATGCATAATTAGTATTACATCTTTACTTTTTGCTATTTAAATATATTTACAGTGAATGGCAGGCCTTTTTTTTTTTTTACATACACCATTTCATCCAAACACCTTGAATTTTGGTCCACCTGTATGACCTGAAAATTAGCACTTTTGGAGCAGAATATTATTGTAAAGAAGTGGGTTTTTTCCTAGAGTGGCTTTTCTCAATCACTGTTAACTTGACAAGATAATACAATTACCATAAGAGGCTGAAGTGTCTTGACCCTATTTTAGATCAGGGATAATAGACTGGATGTAATAAAGACCGTGACATTTTATTGTCGTGGCCCACCAGTGACTTTTGCTTAGAAAGAGGCGTGGTGAATGTTAAGATTGTACCTAAATTTGTTCATCTTAACTGTCTGAGCTTTTGCAAATTCTTCTAAAAATAAGAAAAAATTAAACTAATTGTTGTGTAAAGATACCAGTAGGAGATGTCAAAAATTTCGTGTCAAAATGCAGTAAGAATTGAGTGCCTATAAGTGACGATAAAATTGGTTAGGTTTGTTTGTTTGTTTGTAGTTAAGCACAAAGTTACACGAAGGGCTATCTGTGCTCTGCCCACCACGAGTATCGAAACCCGGTTTCTAGCGTTGTAAGTCCGCAGACATACCGCTGTGCCACTGGGGGGGTGGGGGCAAATCGGTTAGATAAGACTAGAAATCTCTAAAAATATCGACACTGTAACAGAAATACCACAGTATATCTCTAATGGTTAAACATGTTTTGAACATAATACAAAAGGCAACAAAAAATGTGCGTTCTTTTGACTCAATATCGTTTCTTCTTAAGAACAAAGAATATGCACATATATTCTACATTAAACGTTTTTATCAAGTGGAACAAGTGGCATTTCTTGGGATGGAGTTTGAGGTTTGCTGCTTTCAAACGCT